ACTGTTGCTACTACTCGACTCAACAATACAATTTAACAGTTAATGCAGATAATAAATTCTCCATAATACATTTCAACAGCAGAAGCTTATATGCGAACTTTAAACACATCAAGGATTGTTTAAACCAATTTAAACAACCTTTTAGTGTCATCACTATCTCAGAAAACTGGCTTACTCCGAACAAGGGAGCCGATTTTGAATTAGATGGTTATGAATTTAGTTATATTAATAGAGAAGGAAAGATGGGTGGAGGAGTAGCTGTATATGTGGACAACAGTTTTAGATATAAGCTAATTGAAAACATGACTAATGTGGTTAAAGATCATTTTGAATGTTTAACAGTTGAAATATATATGGAAAAAAATAAAAATGTAATTGTTAGTTGTATATATAGGGCTCCTGGTTCTAACATGAACCTTTTCATAGAATGGTTTGAGAAAACATATACAGCTATAAATTCAAAGAACTACTTTATTTGTGGGGACTTTAATATTGATCTGCTGAATGTCAACAATCACAAATTGACTGAAGAGTTTATTAATACCACATGTAGTCTGAGCCTTTTCCCTCAAATTACGAGACCTAGCAGAATCACAGCCAACAGAGCAACATTAATAGATAACATATTTACAAATTTAATAGACAACACCATAAGTGGATTGTTAGTTCATGACATCAGTGATCATTTACCTGTTTTTGCTGTTTGTGATATCTGCCACATGAAAGCCAAGACTAAAAATAATCCAATTCATAAACGATTAAGGACGGAAAAATCTATAAATGCATTTAAAGATGAACTATCTCAACAAACCTGGGAGTCAGTATTAGAAGAAAACGACATGGATAAAGCATATGATAATTTCCTGAATATTTTTAAATCATTATATGACAAACATTGTCCGAATGTAGAGTTTAATTCTACAAATAAATATTCTGAACATCCATGGATCACAAAGGGATTGCAAAATGCCTGTAAAAAAAAGAATAAGTTATATAGAGACTTTATAAGGCAAAGATCAACTGGGGCAGAAAATAAATACAAGAAATACAAGAACAAATTGACTGCTGTTTTAAGAAAAGCAAAACAAGATTATTATAGTAAGCAGTTGGACAGAAATAAAAATAATATTAAAGGTATCTGGAATATTTTAAACAGTGTAATTAAAAAAAATTCCAAACATGTTAGTTATCCACAACACTTTACAAACAACGAAGATAAACATTTAAATAACATGGAAGAGATAGTTCATAATTTTAATAAATACTTTGTAAGTGTGGGCCCAAAATTGGCTGAGGAAATCCCGCAGCCCACAGGACATGAAATACTAAAAGATGTATTAGTTAGAAATCCAGATTCCATGT